TTTACATGAGAAAGTTAAGTACTTTCCAGAGCGAAAAGTACTTCATTAAGAATATTACACGAACTACCGCCGTAAGTCGAAGGAACTTAATCATTCGGATTGAAAAAAAACGTCTCTACTTCGTTTCCCTGAATATCCAATTTGCAAGAATACATTCGCCAGTTTAAATACTTCCTGTTTCCCGAACTTAAGAAGCTAATCTTATGTTTCAAATATCAATGTCGTTAGATTATTTAATTTTTAATTAGACGCAACATTGTTGTAAAATTTAGTGAAAAGTCCAAGGAACCATCGGACCTTCAAGACGCCAGGTAAGGTAAAGTTCGTTCGTACCAGTTACACGACCCGTTACCTCGTTACTGGTTATCGATGGGATTAACCTCGTGACCCGGAAAGCTTCTGGATTCTAAGATAACCTCTTACGAATACGCCAATGTCCACGTTTCACGGGGTTCGAGCCAATCGAAATCGATACTCGGACTGCATGGACGCTCGGTCGCAACCTCAACGACTGTGCAAATACACTTAATATGAGAAGAATAATTAACGTGTCAAGCTCTGATAACTGTTACTGATTAGTTCTCATGAAATCTTAGTAGACAAATCTGTAGCTAATTCTTTTAAAATATACGTGAGGACAGAAATAAATATTCTGGAATAAAAGTCAGAATTATACGTATTTTTTATGTAAAAAGTAATAGTAATACTCTTAATCAAACAATGAATTAGAAAATAAGTACAATTTTAATTTTCACAGCAACTTTCGAGGGTAACATCTAACATTAACATTAAACGCGTTAAATTGCACCCATTAAACCATAATTGCGCTCATTATCTTACTCATTAGCCGTTGAACGTAAACATTGTTCCTTTTATTTTCCCTTCACTCTTATACCTTTAATGACCATATATAATAAAAACAAATTACTACTATCATTTAGCATGAAATAACATTATAATAGCTTTCATTATCCCACACCTTAATCTCTAAGGGCAAACTTCCAAAACTTCTAAATCTTTACTTTCACAGCTGTAATAATCGCAGCTAAAATAAACACTAATCATTGAAACATTTACTAAAAATCTACTATTACTGTCTACTAACCAGTCAGATATATGGCTACAAAATAAAGGTAAACAAAACGTTCGATGTGACATTTTTCTTAATGAAAATGGAAAGGAAAGGAAAAACGAGCATTGAATAACTGATTAATCGGACAATACAGGAATTGATGTAAAACTAAACGAACGAATGAAAATGCAGGATTTTCAATGAAATTTGAAAACCGGTCATCGGACCGGTTCGTGGCGGAAGTTGCTCGCGTAATTTGTTTCGGCGAGCATTTGAAATAGAGACGGTCAATGAAAAGAAATCAATGGCTGGCGTGTCCCATTTCGCGGACAGTCGAGCCGCCATTTCGTTTCAATATTCTGCCACCGGTCCATTACGCAAAACCAGAAAGTGGCCCATAATTCCCGTTGATAGCCGAAAAATGGCATTCTCTCTCGGACACGGACGTACAAGAGAAAAAAAGCATAGTACGCTGAGCTGACTGGATCACGAATTAAAAATGACGGTCGTTTTCATAAATCGTAAAACTTTGAAAAAAGAGGCGGCGGAAAACATTTTATCGGGCCAATATCCATTCGTCGGCCGCGTAATGATGTATCAACATCTAAACGTTCCTTTGGCGTGCGCTCCGGGCCATTCGCGCTCGCTGGACTGAATAAAATGATTCGACGGTCCTGTTTAACCTTGGAAAAACTCGATAATTTGTGACGCACACCGCGAAATGATTGCTTTGCACTCTGCTCCACGCGTTTCTGTAGATTGTGGTCTACGTTGGGTAACTATAACGGAATTTCTTATACGTTTATTTGTTCATGGTAATTATTTGTACACAGTGGTGCTAGAATTAGAATTTTGTTAGTTTTTCTGAATAGTTGTTGTATTTATTAGTGTTATTATTTGTTTATAAATAGAGTGAACATCATTTAATCATTCTAAAGAATGATACTCGCCAGTTCTTTAGTTCTTTACACTTATTCATTTCTTCTAAGTTATTCCTTTAGTTTATTCGAATAACTGATTTTTATTCGTTTTACTTACTTAACTAATTATAGTTACATGATAATATAGTTAACGTCGAATTCAATTTTATTAGTCGTTTTTGTCTTTTATCTAGTCAGGTGAATACAATATTTTGTCAACATTGATTTTATTGTTTAGGAGTGAATAATTGAGAAGATAATTTGAAAGTAACTAGTTCTGAATCATTTGATTCGCGATCAAATTCGGCCAGGTATATTTTCCATGCTTACCGGATGCGCGCCACGTCAGGTCCCTATGCGTCACGAATGATTTCTCTTGCGCGCATACCAGTGACGGTTTAAGCACAATTTACCGATGCCGGTATGCAGACGATCCACGGGAAATGTCCTACCAATTCTGACAAATGTATTCTGCTCGGTTATCACGGCACACGGGACGCTACCGCATACCAGATCTGGACCGAGCCCTTTGTTTATTGAATTTTCATTTCAAAAGCGTCATTGTTCTCCGTTCAAACGGTCCGTCTATCTAACGCTCGAAAATGTGTGTTCCGTAGCAAATATCCTGACGAGCCAAGAATAACGTCTGTTTCTATTTTTGGAATTCGCATCGATACAGAATACTTTGATATTCATCTAGTACGTATTAAATACACACATTCGAATAATAAACCATTTTTTTCGCACATTCTCGTTGTTACTATAAACACAAGTTATCCAAAGTACGAAACGAAAGTCAATAATTACTAGCATAACAAAATTATTCATTAGAGGACACAATAATATTTATTACTATAATACAATATAATAAAATAATATTCATAATTACACTATATAATAATACAATAAAACAATATAATAAGAAAATAAAATTCATAGTTACATATCTCATAAAAATGCAATGATATTACTTATATCGTAACATTTAGTATCATTATCACCTACTACAATACTATATAATTAATTATCATAACAAAGGAACATCCGAAACATTTAAAGCAGAAAACGCGACAACCGAAAGCATCGTCGCCGTTAGCGCACGAGCTACGGGTGGCAGTAAAATGGCGGCGCGCGATCGACTGCAGTTGCAATATTTCGAAACAAGCCCCGAACGTCGTGCACAAGTGTGTCCGCGCCCGAGTCGAGTCTCGAGTCCTGTACAACCCACTTGAGATCGTGGCTGCACAGTAGCTTCTTTCTCCATGAGACGGTATCGATCGGGCCCTGTGCCACCCCCTGCACCCACCCACCGCAAGCCCAGCGCGTCTTCAAACCCTTAGAAATTTCGGGATGCAACCGCAATATCGAAAGTGCTCGAGTACTCGAGGCTGGCCCATCGAAATTCCATTCAAGGAGGAGGACCTACTTTCCCGCCCTCGGTGCTCGATTTTCTTTTTTTCTTTTTTGCCCGCCGACAGAGAGAACGTTTAAAAGACAAAAGAACGTTAAGGGAGGACGCCGGACGAAGAAGGGCGTTGACTGAGGTGTGCTGAGGAATTTGCATCTCGGTTTTCGAAGGGAACAGTAGGAACTGCAACTGCCGGTTTCTCGTTTTCTTGACTGCGTTTCTCTTTGAAAAGTGTCTTTAAAGAGGCAGTCTTTGAAAAGAATACCCTGGGAATAAGAAGTTTTATTCGTTATTAACACCCAGACAACCACCTGACGAAAACTGTAATTTTCGCTGCCATTAGGCACCGGAAAAAGTTCTTGAGGGTCCTTAAATTTGAATTTCAACACAGAGAACGATTTTGTAAAATGATTCGATAAATTGTTTGATGTTTGAGATTATTCCGTATTGCATTGCTATATTGCATTTTTTTCTATCACGATTTATTATGATATCTAACAGCATTGTTTAGTGTTACGTTGTGTATTAGCTTGAAGGTTACTTTTAAATCTTCGTTCCATCATGGTTATATTTAGAGTAACTAATCCATGCTTATAAATTCTTTTTATAATACTTTTATGTAACATGTTAGCCATGAATATCGTTGTTGAATTTTAGTCTTTGTAGCGTAACATTGAATTTTAATTAACTGAAATCGACTTGGGCCAAGTGTTGTCTCCATCAATAAAATTTCAGCAACTGCTGGCTGAATAGTATCGAATACTACACCGTTAGGAATATCGAGCAATCCGGTTTCGAATAATTCGATGCAACTAGTTCCGAAGTAGTTCTGCGCCGTGTAGACGCTTAATGCCCGCTTTCTTCGTTTAATATATTTAAATGAGTTTTCTTAATCGCCTGAAAGCCAGTTTCGCCGGGATTCCGTTTCCTCAGAACTCATTAAACTAAACTCGACCCGACAAAAAACAAACTGGGAGGACCAAATCCTCTATGGAATGGAGCTTTACAATTACTATAGAGTGCATTGTAAATGCTGTTCTTAACGATCAGGATTTCTCGTTGGAATTATTCAATGCTCATTAATTAATTCACTTACAGCTATTCTAACTGATAACTGATACTTTGTAACCAAAGACTGTAACTAAAGACTATACATGTCTATACGCACAATTGCAGAGACATTACTTTTATTATTCAAAAAATCCAAATTAATTAATTTTAATATTAAATCTGATTATTTTGAAAACTACATTTCCAGATATAGGAATTATATCCCTACCAACATCACAATAACATTAAGGTCTCGAGCCTACAAGAAAAGCTTCCATTGATCACCTTTTCTCGTTTTTTCATTTAATTATTGACAAAACTAAGAAAATTATGAGAGAATTTAATTATTTACAAACTTGAAATATATACGTTCTAATTTGACAAACATATTTTACTTTAAATTTCGGGATAAATTTACTTTACTATATTTTATTTTAAATTTCTTCTAGAGTCTCTACTTTTATCTTGACTATTGCTCGACCAATTATATCGGGTAGTCAGAGTTCTACTATATTTTACGAAGAACACTGAAGGATAAAGCACTGCTTACCAAAGAAAGAAGGGGAGCCAACAAGCCAGAAACGCAGACATGATGATTCCCAGAGTCCTGGCAGCCTTTCGTTCCCTCCTCATTTTACTGCTGCTCGCGATCGGTGGATCCTCCGGCTGTGGATCCGGCGAGGACTGATCCACCGTCGGCAACGACGTCAGACCAGCAGAAATGCCGTTGATCTGAAGATGTTTGTTCAAAAGCGCCGCCGCCACCTTGCTCCTGTAACAAAGCGTCCCATTTTCGTTGTACTTATAGCTGGCTTGGTGACGGGATGGAAATTATACACTGTTGTTTCCCGCCACAGCCCCGCGATCCCAGCTTAACAATAACAAAAGTTTTCATTCGCATTATCGTTCGGCTGACGCTCGCTGGATTTCCCGGTTGGGGTGGAACGGGACATTTGCAACAGGGAACTTGGACTGCGAAAGGATTAAAGGTAGTGGAAAGAAGACAGGAATTTTGTCGTTTAATTGACGCGAGTTAAAGAGGATTGGAAAGGATTGTGACGGGTCAAAGTGGACGTAAGTTTATGCAAGCGGTTGGAGGTGAGTCACAGCGAATCGAAGTTGGGTTTAGATTTAATCTGGATTTGGTCAATGTGGATAGGAGTGAAACAAAATAAGTCAGAATGATTCACCATGAATCATAGTGAATCGTAGTGAATTACAGCGAGTCACAATAAATTGAAATGCTTATGTTTGAATTATTATGGATCAAAGTAGATCAAAGTGGTCCAAAGTGGTTCAAAATGATTCACAGTAAATAATAATCAATTACAATTAGTAATACAATAGTTAATTGAAATGGTTAAGTTTGATTTATTGTGGATCAAAATAGACTAAAGTGGTCCAAAATGGTTCACAGTGAATCATAGTGAATCGTAGTAAATTAAACTGCTTAACATTCAGTTATTATAGAACTAGATTGGGCAAAATGGATCAAAGTAGGTCAAAGTAGTTTATAGTGAATCACAGTAAATCAGTGTAGATCAAAGTGTTTAACTTTAGATTAAATTTGGCTTTGGTTAAAAACAGGATGAAGTTAGTTCAAAATGAATCATGTTCGAACAAAGTATTTAACTTCGGAGCTAAATTAAATCAAAGTGGAGCAAAGAAATACTTCTAAAAGTTTTTAAAAAATCCGACTTCTCGGTGTAGTTGCACAATCTATTTAAAAACTGGAAGAAAAGAGAATTGCAACTCGTCCCGTAGGAAACTGAAATTAGAATCTTTCATCTGAATAACTTAAGGTATTCCCGTTTTCTTTGATCATCTCGCGACTTTCCCGTTCGAAAAAAGAAAGTTCAAATGATAACCTGATAAGGTGAAAGATGGCGGAGAGAGTAACTATTCGCATACTTTCAATGTTACTTACATCAAAGCAACACGATTTAACGCCACGCACTACCGTGAAAGTAATCGAGGCAACTTTTATTAGCTTCCCGGAAAATTGCTTGTACATCCTGATCGCAAACTTCCATCTTTGATCTGAATCCCATCTTGATCTTTTCAACCAGCTTACGTATTACCAAGGGAATCATGTTTTCCACGATACTTTAGAAAGTTTGTACTACGTAATACTGAACTGTATATATAAAGCTGCAACATGAAAACAATGTCCTTGGGAAGTCAATTTTTTAGTGTCGCCGACTCTAAAAATTACGTTATTTTCTATTTCAAAAACTTCCCGAAATTAGCATCCTTCTAATATTTCAACAAAATCCAAACCGTGCCTAAAATATTAAAAATATAAGTATGAACCTTTCTAATTTTCAACAAAATCTATAGCATTTCCAAAATATTAAAATTAAAATATGAATTTATCTCATCTTTAAAAAGACCCAAAGCATTTCTAAAATATTAAAATTAAAATATAAATCTTCTTAACTTTCAACGAGACCCATCGAATTTCTAACCTACTAAAATATCAGCCTCTTAACCTCAAATGAATTTATCTTTTACGTAGACATTATATCAACATATTCTAACGAAATTTCTTCGCTCAAATCCCTCAATTGTACAACCAACAATAACTCAATCCGATTCGCGCAACTATCACGATCCGAACTTCGAAAATAACCGCAGGAACACTCACAGTTACCATAAAACCATGAAACGAGTCAATGAAATCCCCGTTGTACCTAACAGAATCAAAGTTCTCGAGACGAAAACTCCTCGAAGTGGAATAAGAAAGACGGGACACGGCTCGCGGTGTCGATCCATTGATCCAGAGCCACCCAAGCTACCCGGAATACGATCGAGAAATGTGTCATCGACTTTCCCCAAGATGTCGGCTAACACTGTACAAAGAGAAAGAAGAAGGAGGGCTCTTTAAAGATTCCGATGCGGATCTCTGGCCCGTTAATTTGCCCCGAAAGCGCGAGCGAAACGTGATCGATCTTCTGGATACCGTCGATCTACCCTCTCCCTCTCCTCTCATCGTGTTCAAAGGGAAAAATTAAATCTGCGGCGGTGGTTCTCGACAGGCCTGCTTTCAGCTCTATCTCTCTCTCTCTCTCTCTCTCTCTCTCTCTCGCGCGCGCGCATTCTCTCGCTCTCTCCTTCCCTCTCCTCGCTTCAAAGGAATCTCGTTTCACCTGATGGATACTTCAGCGAGTGAGAATCGGGAATTCTCGGCACAAGGGCGTCTCTCCCCACCCCAAAAGCTGGAGGATTGTTTTATCGCGTCCGACCGATCCGATCGTTCCACTCGCCGCGTGGTTACGAGCAGTTCCTTCGTTTGCGAATGCCTCAAGATTCGACCGCACAGAGATTAACGTTAGATTCAGGGAATACGTTGACTAGATGAGTATTGAATTTTACGAACGTTGATTTATAGAAGTTCGACACTATCCCTATCGAAGGTATCGACAAACACCTTTCGAGATTCTATTAGGTTGTTGCGTATAAAATGTCGGATTTTTAAGTAAATATATAGAACTACATATCTTTTTTCAAAAGCTTTTTATTTAATTAAAATATGCTCCATTTACTTCAATACACTTTTCCCAACAAGATTTTAATGCATAAATGCCTGTCTTAAAGAAATTCTGATCTTTAAAATCGATAAACTCTGATATGGAATTTTTCAGGCTGTCTTCATTTTCATACTGTTTAGCCCGTAAGAACTGTTCTAAATGTTTAAAAAAATGAAAGTCGGTTGGCGAACGATCCGGTGAATAAGTTGGGTGCTGCAAAATTTCATATTTTAATTCATTTAATTTCGCAATTGTTTTGTACGACGTATGCGGCCGAGCGTTGTCGTTGACAAGTATTGGGTCGTGACGATTAACAAGTGATGGGCGTATAATTTTCAATTTTTCATGCATTACGTCAATGTACTGGCACTACTTTTCGGCTGTAATTGTCTCCCCCGTTCGAAGGAATCAGTAGTGAATTACTCCAGTCACATTCCACCAAACTGTTATTAAAATTTTTCATGGGTGAAGTGATGGCGTTGAAGTATGAGCACAAGCCTTATCCCTATCAAGCCACCGAGAACACCTTTTCCTATTGTCATAAAGAACCTATTTTTCATCACAAATAATAATCCGATCGAAAAATGGCACTTGATGAAATCGAGTTAGTAATGATGAGCATACGTTCAACCGATTCAGCTTATTTCGCTCCGTTACTTCGTGCGGTACTCACTTATCTAGCTTCTCACCTTGCCAATTTCAGAAAGGTGTCGCTATATTGTTGTATGGTCAACTTTCATTCTGGTAGCAAGTTCTCTTGTAGATACAGTTGGATTCATTTCCACCAATGCTTTCAGAGCATGATTTTTCACAGACGTTTTGGGTCTTCCACGCGGTTCATTTTGTAGGGAAAAATCACCAGACCGAAAATTTTCAAACCAACGCTGCACTTTTCGACCGTTAACAGTATTCTCCCCAAACGCCTGGTTTATATTGCGTGAAGCTTTTACAGCATTATTACCAAGTTTACACTCATATAAAAAAATTACACGAATATCGGATGAATTCATATCGGTATAAGATTCAAAACAAATAACAAAGGGAAACACTTTTGAGAAAATTTTCTTTGTTGAAATGTAACTCTGGCAATGGACAGGACGACTATAAACGGGGTTATGCAAAGAAAAAACATAACGAAAATGGAAAATACGTTATTTTGTCAGTTTAATCACTTATTAAGTCATTCGTTAATCATCTAGTTAATTTTATAATCGCTATTGGAACAATTGGGAAGTTAATTCAGAATATACGATTAAACTTGGAAAATAATTTTGATTGATGCAACATCCGTAGGAATGTGTATTTACCTTTTTCGAGAATAGAGTTAAGTGTAGTTTCGGGTGAATTTATTTGTATATTGTGTAGATTTGAAAACTAAATAAATGGTATACTAACTGTACATAGTATATTAGGTAGCGTAATTATTATAGTTATAATACTAGTGCAGTAGGTGTTAGAATTAAATAAATAGAATAAATAAAGATTACATCTGTATGTATAGATCTATGCTTGGATGTTTGTTGTATTTTTATGAGATACACAAAGGCCTTAACTTGAAAAAAGAATGAATACGAAAAATCGGAACTTCTCGGTTTGCCTGTTAGAATACAAAAATTCCTTCAGCTCCAAAGGATTTTAACAGATAATATACATTTTACTATGTTGCAAGAATATAAACATTGAATTTTCTTTGCAACGCGTTGGTATGATCTATTATTTAACTAGGAAGCAAAGGACAGAATAAAGCATGCAACACAGCGCAGTAGGCAAACGCAGCAAAACAAATGCAAACACTGGCCTTGTCTGCTTTCGCGTGCTTTAAAAGGTTCATATATTCAGGTGATGACATACTGTTGCATCTGCAATGTTTACTGTCACATGCACGCGTACAGGCTCGCTAAGCTATGTTTTAGTAGCAAACGAAGTTCGTTTCTTAATCATTAATTATTATATCTTCGTCGTCCGGCAGTGGAAGCTGATAGTTCCTCGGTGGAAGAATTCAATTCGCTTTACGTGCCTTTCGTTTCGTCTGTAACGTCTGCACTATTACGAGCCTGCCACGGAGGAAAGTAATTCTACATCTAATCTTATTATCCCGCGCTTCCCTTCGATATAGTTATTCCCCGTCCGCGACGGGTATAATATAATCAAAACACAGAGTGCTCCGACGGCAATTGAATTTGGAGGAATTCCATTCGACTCGATTAAGCGGTTATGTTCGAAACACGCGCCAATATAATAT